CTGCTCGCTCGCTCACTCACTCATTATCATCGATCCTCTGGACGTCTAAATACAGTCAAACACTTGTACTGAAAACAATGAAGCACTTCTAAACAATCATTCCATGTTTCAGTTGTTACTCAGTGAACTGTGCGAAAAAAAAAGTTGGGGTAACACCCTGTATTTCAAAATCTCTAACTCAGCAACAACAACAACAAATAATTGCATTTATGTAGCGCTGAAATGTCTGCACTGCAAATATAGAAAGTATGTTAGGACAATAATATATTTTTAAAAAATACACGATTCGGATCTGTACCCTTTCGTGTCTAAAGAAGGAGAAACAGGATATAAGGACAGGGATCAGAGAGCCCAGCAGTGTGAGGAGGGAACTGAGTGAGGTGGAACAGAGTGAGAATTCTGTTAAGGAATTTGGTGAGAGTAGGAATTCGGTGCAGAGGGGGAAAGAGGTTGATAATTATAAAATATGTAATATTTATATTAAATATAAAACATGCCTGGGAATATGGCAGGGCAGCTGAGACTGGTTGCATGGACAATCTGTGCCACGTGGGAACTCCAGGATGCTTTGTGTGCCCACAGACACGTGTGTAAGAGTTTCTGAGCTCAAGGAGAGGCTGGAGTCACTACATAGCATACAGGAGGCTGAAGAGTTCATGGATCGAACGTTTCAGGAGGAGGTCACCCCACAGTCACAGGGGGTTCAGAAGGAGAGTGAGCGGGTGACCACCTGGCATAGTAGGAAGAGGGGATGGGCAGTGCAGAAACCCCAAGAGTGTGGCACCCACAAACCGGTTCTCTATACTGAATACTGGTCAGGGTGCTGACACCTCTGGGGAGGGGAGTCAAAAATAAATGGATGCACAGGGGAACACAAGGAAGAGGGTCAGTGCAATTGTCATTGGGGACACAATGGTGAAAGGAGTAGACAGGCGTTTCTGCAACCAAAGATGTGACTCTCGCATGGTATGTTGCCTCCCTGGTGCCAGGGTTGAAAACGTCACGGAATGAGTGGAAAACGTTCTACAGGAGGAAGGGGAACATCCAGAAGTCGTGGTTCATGTTGGGATCCATGACGTAGGGAAAAAAAGGGCTGAGATCCTACAGGGAGAGTATCAGAAGTTAGGGAAAAAGCTAAAGAGAAGGACCTCCAAGGTGGTGATTTCTGTATTATTCGCAGGGCCTCGTGCAAGTGAATCAAAACAGCAGATCAAACACATGAATACATGACTGGAGAAATGGTGAAGAAAGGAGGGCTTCAGGTTCCTGGAGCATTGGGACCAATTCTGGGGCAGGTTGGACAAGTACAAGGTGGATGCCTTACACCCTAATAGGGCTGGGACCAAGGTCCTCACAGGGAGGTTAATAATAATAATAATCCTTGCATTTGATAAAGCGCTTTTCACGTCAGGAGGACGTCCCAAAGCGCTTCACAGAACACACTGTAAAGTGAATTGACTGTATATTTGTGGGCGAACGCGGCAGCCAATTGCGCACAGCAATGTCCCACAAACAGTCGTAGATTGAATATAACCAATTTATTATTGTTTTTGGTTTTGGAGGGATTATTATTAGGCTCTGTGTGGAGTAAGGAAACTTGCCCAAGGTTTCGCCCTAACCTGCCTGCCCTGCCTAGAGCTGTGGGGAAGGTTTTAAACTAATTTTGAGGGGTGATGGGAATCGGGATGTAGCATTAGAGAGGACAACAAGTTACATAGAGAGCTGGGAGAGATGGATTGCAATGTAATCAGGAGTAATCCAGAAAAAGGAGGGATTAGACGGGGGAAGAAGTACAGAACAGACTAAGTAAGTCTTGGAGTGCATGTGCGTAAATGCACAGAGTGTGACAAATCGGATTGGGGAGCTGCGGCTCAAGTTCCCACATGGGGTTATGATGCAGTGGCAATAACGGAGACCTGGCTCAAACAAGGACAGGAAAGGGAGCTGAATATTTTTTGTAATGCATTCAGGAGGGATAGGGAAGGAAAACAAGGAGGGGGGGGGGGGGGGGGGGTGGCAGTATTCATTAAAGACACGGTTACGGCCCTGGAAAGGGACGATGTGCCAGAAAGTCCAAAAGCAGAATCTATTTGGTTAGAGTTAAGGAGCAGAAAAGGAGCTTTTACTCTGTTTGGTGTAAACTATAAACCACCAAATCGCCGGAAGGAGATAGACGAGCAAATCTGCAGCAGATTTCAGAAAGATGCCAAACCAATAGAGTAGTGATAATGGGGGACTTCAATTACCCTAACATAGACTGGCAAAATAACGTTGTAAAGGGCAAGGAGGGGGAAGGATTCCTGAAATGTGTGCAGGATAACTTTCTGGATTAGTATGTTTGCAGCCCAACGAGGAAGGAAGCAGTGCTGGATCTAGTTCTGGGGAATGAAATGGGGCAAGTGGAGCAGGTTTCAGTGGGAGAGCATCTGGACAACAGTGATCACAACATCATTAGGTTTAGAGAACTTATGGAAAGGGAAAAAGGTGAAGATACTCAACTGGAAGAGGCAAATTTCAGTGAGTTAAAAAGGGACGTAGTCAAGGTGAACGGGAAAGAAAGATTGGCAGGTAAAACAGCTGACGATCAATGGGAAGCCGTCAAGGAGAAGATAGTTTGGGGACAGAACAAATACATTCCCACAAAGGGGAAAGGGAGGGCATGCAAACCTCGCTGGGTGAATAAGGAAATTGGGATTAAAATAAAACAGAAAAAGGCTTATGATAAATGTCAGGTCAAAAATACAGAAGATCAAATAGAATACAGAAAGTACAGAGGAGAACTGAAAAAAGAAATAAGAGGGGCAAAGAGATTGTATGAGAAAAGATTAGCGGATAACATAAAAGGGAACCAACCTTAAGATATTTTATAATCATATAAAGAATAAAAGGTTAGTCAAAGATAGAGTGGGTCCAATTAGGGACCAAAGGGGAAATCTTGTTGTGGAGGCAGAGGGCATGGCTGCTGTACTGAATGAATACTTTGCATCTGTCTTCATAAAAGAAGAGGATGCAGCCAATGCCACAGTATCAGAGGAGAGGGGAGAGAGATTAGATAAGATAAGAATAAACCAAGAGGAGGTACTAAAAGGGTTGCTCAAGGTAGATAAGTCACCCGGTCTGGACTGGATGCATCCTAGTTTCCTGAGGGAAATAAGGGTAGAAATAACAGGCTCTGGCCACAATCTTTCCATCCTCCTTGGACACTGGAGTGGTGACAGAGGACTGGAGGGTTGCAAATGTTACTCTCCTGTACAAAAAGGGGCAGAAGGATAAGCCCGGGAACTATAGGCCAGTCAGCCTAACATCAGCAATGAGCAAACCTCTAGAGATCATAATCCGGGTCAGAATAAATTTTCACTTAGAAAAATATGGGTTAATAAAGGACAGTAAACATGGATTTGTTAAAAGTAAATCATGTCTAACAAACCTGATAGAATTTTTTGATGAAGTAACGGAGAGGGAGGATGAAGGTAGTGCAGTAGATGTAGTTTACATGGATTTCCAAAAGGCGTTTGATAAAGAGCCACATAAAGAGACTTGTAATCAAAATAGAAATCCACGGTATTAAAGGGACAGTGACAGTATGGATACAGGACTGGATGGGAGACAGAAAGCAGAGAGTAGTGGTGAACGGTTGTCTTTCTGACTGGAGGGAATTGTGCAGTGATGTCCCCCGGGGGTTAGTATTGGGACCACTGCTGCTGTTGATCTATATAAATGACCTGGACTTGGGTGTAGGGAGGATAATTTCCAAGTTTGCTGATGATACTAATCTGGAAAAGTAGTAAACAGTGCGGAGGATAGTAACCGACTGCAAGTGGCCATAGACAGACTGGTAACACGGGCAGACACGTGGCAGATGAAGTTTAATGTGGAGAAATGTGAAGTGATGTATTTTGGGAGGAAGAATGAGGAGAGGCAATATAAGCTGATAATAATAATAATCCTTGTGATATAGCGCTCTTCACGTCTTCTCGACGTCTCAAAGCGCTTCACAGAATAATAATAATAATAATAATAATCCTTGCATTTGATATAGCGCTTTTCACGTCGGGAGGACGTCCCAAAGCGCTTCACAGAATACACTGCAAAGTGAATTGACTGTATATTTGTGGGTGAAACACGGCAGCCAATTGCGCACAGCAGTGTCCCACAAACAGTCAGGATTGAAAATGAACAANTTTTTTATTAATATTCTTTGTTTTGGAGGGATTATTATTAGGTGTGTGAAGTAAGGAAACTTGCCCAAGGTTTCGCTCTGCCTGGAATTGAACTCAGGTGTCTCGCTTGCAAAGGGAGTGCTCTAACCACTGAGCTACAGGACTCCAGGTAGAATGATGGTAGAATCTTGAAGGGGGTGAAGGAACAGAGAGACCTGGGAGTTCATATAAGCAAATCTTTGGAGGTGGCCGGACAGGTTCATAAAGCTGTTAAAAAAGCATACAGGACACTGGGCTTTATAAATAGGGCATAGAATACAAAAGTCAGGAAGTTATGATGAACCTTTATATAAAACACTGGTTAGGCCTCAGCGAGAGACTGTGTTCAGTTCTGGGCCCCACACTTTAGGAAGGATGTCAAGGCATTGGAGAGGGTACAAAGGAGATTTCCCAGGATGGTACCAGGAATGAGGGACTTCAGTTATCAGGAGAGGCCGGAGAAGCCGGGATTATTCTCCTTGGAGCAGAGAAGGTTATAGGGTGAATAAGGAGAAACTATTTCCACTGGCGGGTGGGTTGGTAACCCGAGGACACCGAATTCAAATAGTTGTTAAAAGAAACAGATGGGAGGTGAGCAGAAATGTTTTCACACAGCGAGTTGTTGGGATCTGGAATGCATTGCCTGAAAGGCCGGTGGAAGCCGATTCGATAACAGCTTTTAAGAGAGAAGTAGATAATTATTTGGGAAGGACAAGTTTGCAGAGCTATGGGGAGAAGAGAGTGGGGGAGTGGGATTGATTTGGATAGGTTTTTTCAAAGAGCCGGCACAGGCACGATGGACTGAATGGCCTCCTTCTGTGCTGTATAATTCTAGGATTCTAGGATTCTATGACACCTATTTTCACCATTGCACTATGACAGATCCTGGAAATTGCCAGCCCACTCGCCTGCGGAGTGTCCGCAGGCCTGGTCGCTTTCCATTCAGTCAACGGCATCCATGTCTGTGTCTCCTGTTACCTCAGCAGCATCGCCCTGGGCAAGGCCTGACCCTGGGTCCACTGCAGCTGGGGCTGAAACTGAGGTTGGAGTTGAAGCCTTGGGCTGCGATGGAGCTAAGGCCTGGGCTGGAGTTGCGGCCTGGGCCTTGGCTAGAACTCCAGCTTGGGCTGAAGGCTTCTCTGGATCTGGGGAAGTGAGTGGAGCTGGGACAGGAGTTGAATCTGGGATCAGAGGTGTAGCTGGAGCTGAAGCATTGGCCTGGGCTGTATTTGGAGCCTTTGCAGGAGTTGAGGCCTGGGCTGGGGGTAGAGCTGAGGCCTGAGCTGGGGTTGAGGCCTGGGCTGGGGTTGAGGCCTGGGCAGTGGGTGGAACTGAGGCCTGGGCTGGAGTTGAGGTCTGGGCTGGAGTTGAGGTCTGGGCTGGGGATGGAGTTGAGGCCTGGGATGGGGTTGAAGCCTGGGCTGTGGGTGGAGTTGAGGCCTGGGTGTGGTGGAGTTGAGCTGGGTGGAGTTGAGGCCTGGGCTGTGGGTGAAGTTGAGGCCTGGGCTGGGGTTGAGGCCTGGACTGTAGGTGGAGTTGAGGCCTGGGCTGTGGGTGGAGTTGAGGCCTGGGCTGTGGGTGGAGTTGAGGCCTGGGCTGGGGTTGAAGCCTGGGCTGTGGGTGGAGTTGAGGCCTGGGCTGGGGTTGAAGCCTGGGCTGTGGGTGGAGTTGAGGCCTGGGCTGGGTGTAGAGCTGAGGCCTGGGCTGGGGATGTGAGTGGAGCAGGGACAGGAGTTGTGTCTGGGATCAGAGGTGTGGCTGGAGTTGGAGCCGGACCTGCCCTGGTTGCTGGGGGTGAAGCTGGAGTTAGTGAGGCAGGTCTGGGGCCTGGCTGGGCAGCTTGTGATGGAGATGCTGTACCCGCGTTGGCAGAAAGTGCCTCGGAGGCGGGAATCATACCCAGAGGAGCGGTGCCCATCTCGGCGAGCAGTCCCTTGGGGCCCTGAACCACTTTGACAGCAGTGGCCACATCCATCATGGAGCCCTCCGCACTCTCTCCCTCCTCCTCCTCTTCCTCCTCCTCCTCTTCCTTTGGGCAGCGTGCCTCCGCAATCTTTTTGTAGAGCTGTGTCCTCTCCTCCTGCAGTACCCGGCAGAGGTTCTCCAGACGCATGATCTTCAGCTGGAAGCACTCATACTCCTTCCCTCGCATTGTCCTCTGAGGCAGAGCAAAGCATAATTACCCTGAACTTGGAGTTCACATCTCTCACCCACCCCTCATCTCTCAAGTCTTCCCTCTTCCTCAACACTGCACAAACCCAGACCTCCCCCTCCCACCAACCGCAACCACCCCACCTCCAAACCCCCCTCTCTCTCTCTCTCTCTCTCTGAGAGCCTTTTCAACAATGGAAGACCGATTATAATAATAAATAATCTTTGCATTTGAGAAAGCGCCTTATCACGTCTTTGAGACGTCTCAAAGTGCTTCACAGAATCCGCTGTGAAGTCAATTGACTGCGCATGTTGTGGGCGAAATGTAGGAGCCAAGTGTGCACAAACGGTTGTGGATTGAGTGGCCAAATTATTATTATTATTATTATTATTTTTTAAAAGGGTTTTTTAACTGCGGAAAAGCATTCTGCCAAACAACCAGGTTCCTACTTTACTGCTAGGTGAACAGAGGCGTGTGGAGTAAGGAAACTTGCCCAACGCTTCTCCCTGCCCGGGAACCAAACCCGAGCCCTCTCGCTTATGAGGCCAGTGCTCTAACCACTGAACCACAGGACTCCACGATGGATGTGACTGCTTCCTGAAGCAGGAGAGCAAATTGGGAGATCCATCTTGCAAGAAAGACCTTGCTGCCGGGTAGTGGGCTTGTGTGTCCCGTCTCACTAACCTCCTCGATCATATCCAGCAGAGCCTTGTTGCAATTCTCCCATTTGGCTTTCCACATCTGTGTCTCCTTCTCAAACTTCTTCATTTTCTTTGTCATCTGTGAGGGTACGTTTCGGAAACGACACGTTTAAACGACGGTCAATTTTGCGGTGTTCATTTTGCAGTGACGATAGACAAGTTAGTCCTCACAGCCATGGTGTCTGCGCTGGGGCTCGCTCCCCCACTGGAGCTCTCTCCCCATGGTGTCTGTGCTGGTGCTCTCTCCCCCACTGGAGCTCTCTACTCTAACCCCATTCCCCTGCTCTCTCCCCATGGTGTCTGCGCTGGTGCTCGCTCCCCCACTGGAGCTCTCTACTCTAACCCCATTCCCCTGCTCTCTCCCCATGGTGTCTGTGCTGGTGCTCGCTCCCCCACTGGAGCTCTCTACTCTAACCCCATTCCCCTGCTCTCTCCCCATGGTGTCTGCGCTGGTGCTCGCTCCCCCACTGGAGCTCTCTACTCTAACCCCATTCCCCTGCTCTCTCCCCATGGTGTCTGCGCTGGGGCTCGCTCCCCCACTGGAGCTCTCTACTCTAACCCCATTCCCCTGCTCTCTCCCCATGGTGTCTGCGCTGGTGCTCGCTCCCCCACTGGAGCTCTCTACTCTAATCCCATTCCCTGCACTTTCCCGTGATTTAGCTGCCTAAATTCCTGCAGCACATCTGCGCACAATCCCAGCCCTTGCCAAACTGCACCTAACCTATCCGAGATTAGATAATGTGGGTGCGTCCAACATGCCGAAAAATATGAGTTTGCTTGTGAGGTGAGTGCGCTAACCACTACGCTATGGGACTCCACGTCTTAAGCACGGTGAGACAGATTTCTACATGTATTGGATACCCAGCTGACCAATAAAACACATACATCCCATTCTCACAGCTGAAGAATGACCACTTGTACCTCGGCAAAAGTTGCAGCAATCTGCAGGAGAGGAGGCCAATCAACTGGGAATGGGAGACAGCAAACACCTTCCCTGTCAGTCCCTGCCTTGAGAACGTGATCAACCCTGAACTACTGACCTTCTCCATTTCCACTTTGAATGAGGTGAACATCTCGTTACTCTTGGCCAGCGTCCCCTGGAACTCTTCAAACTTCTCTGAGTATAGAGCGAGCTGGAAGGAGATATATATACAGAGGGAGAGAGAGAGAGAGAGAGGCGTCAACGTCAACTCCGGAATTTCAGGATTCCCGCTAAAAAAATACTCGGGTAGTCCAACAATAATTTAAGAAGGATAACGATCATAATTAATAATAATCCTTTCATTTGATATGGAGTCTTATCATGTCGTTGAGACGTTTCGAAGTGCTTCGCAGGATATATTGTAAATGGATTGAACGTATACAATAATCCTTGTATTTGATATAGCACCTTATCATGTTGTTGAGATGTCTCAAAGTGCTTCACAGTATTTTACTGTAAAGTGCAGTGACTGTATTTTGTTGGACAACACAGCAGCCAATTAGCTAATGGCCTCGTGGATTGAGTGACCAATTTTTGTTTGGATGGATCATTACTCCCGGAAAGTGTTCTGCTAATCGACTGCCAACCGAGTTCCTATTTATTGCTAGGTAAACAGAGGGGTGGAATAAGGAGCTCCAGCGGGTGGGGGCAGAAAGGCTGAAGGCCCCACTACCAATGGTGGAGCGGGCAGGGCGGGGGATGTGGAGTGTGCCAGTGCCTGCTGAGCGGAGGGAGTGGACGGTTGGTAATATTTTAGAAGGTTGCAGAGGTAGGGAGGAGCAAGACCATGGATGGCTTTGAAGGTGAGGATAAGGATCTTGAACTGAGGAGCCAGGAGATGGAGGTGATTGGGTCACGGAGCTTAGTGCGGGAGAGGACACGAGCTGCAGAGTTCTGGATAATCTGCAGCTTGTGGAGGGGAGAGTTGGGAATGTTGTTGTTGTTGGGAAGTCCGGGAGTCCAGGGAGTTAGCGTAGTTGAGCCTGGATGTAATGAAGACGTGGATGAGGGCCTGTTCTACCCAGAAGAACAGGCATAGGGGACCTCGGTTGCCTCACTGCAAGGACAGTACCTTCAACAACACAGTGATTCTCCCCCTCACCCCACCCTCGGACTGCGCTGGACATGACATGACCTGTTACCTGGGCCTTCAGGAGGGTTTCCTGCTCCTTCATTACATTTGTCTGAAGCTTCCATTCCGCTGCCTGATTGAGAAGCTGTACAGGGACAGACAGACACAGAGAATTAGCGACATGGTATTTACTGCCCCCACCGCCCCTTCCTCTGGCTTCCACCCCCAACTTGGTTGCCCATCTAACACTGTGAGTGCACTTCGTTCAAACCCACTCCTATACGCCCTGTCGGCGCTTAGAGGCCCCCTGACCAGTTTACGCTCCTCCCTTTGATTTCAGATTTCCAGCATCTGCAGCATTTTGCCTTTTTTTTTCTTTGTTTGTCTCTAGTTTATGTGGCACAACTGTGACCTCATCTGTATCAATTATATTAACACTTGCCATTGACTGTGTGCGTGCAATTATGAATTTTATGTAAAATTATACCTCAGATAATAACAATAATAATCGTTGCATTTGATATAGCACCTTATCGTGTCTTCGAGACATCTCCAAGCGCTTCACAGAATCTACTGCAAAGTGTAGTGTGTTTTGTGGGCGAAAAGTGATGATTGAACTAAAAATGTAGAAATGATAACTGGTTTTGTACCCTATAATAATAATCCTTCCATTTGATATAACGCCTCATCGCATCAGCTGTTTGATACTTCCTTCATTCAACCGTCCTGTGTGTCCTTATGTATAACCATGACCATCCTTCCTCCTCAGTAATGTCTCCTGCCTTAGAAGGGATAGAGAGACTCTTGCGACAGCCCACCCAGCTCCTGTTAACCCAGCAAGTCAAAGCCCTAGTGGGTAGGGTGGTCCTCGCTGAACAAGCAGCGGGAAAGCTTATCAGACAGCGCTATCAATGGCAAGCTATGCAGCTTTAGCTGGTTAGACTCCGGCAGTTACCCCAACACACACTCTGGGGCGCCTCAGCCTGTGCCTAATACTTTCCAGAATTAGGTAAGCCAGAGGTATCGCTCCAGGGAGAGAGTGTGCATTCCATTCCAATACACAGGGAATTTCCATGTGTGGGTGGGACGCATGGAATTCTCAGTTTGGTTTGAAGACTGTTAAGTACGGTGATGGGTTTCCGCGTGTGTCAGACACCCCGGCTGACCAACAAAAAGATAGCCATTAGAACAAGTGGGGGCGGAGGCTTAACGTTCCTCGGCTCTCGCGATAGGCAACTTGTGATAGGCCTCTCGACAGACTCTCTCCCCGATAAGCTCTCCTGATCCGGATGGACGGGCTGATGCTTACGTATTCCTTCTCCTGCTTGTGCCTCTCCTCTGTCGCTCTCATGATCTCCTCGGCGTGTTTCAGCTTCGTGTCCACAAGCTGCTGCTGCAGCTCCCTGTGTTTCACCATCTTGTCAAAGTGCTGAGGAGACCAGGGGAGACAGACACTGAGCAACACAGCGTAGACACCAGGGGAGACAGACACTGAGCAACACAGCGCAGACACCAGGGGAGACAGACACTGAGCAACACAGCGCAGACACCAGGGGAGACAGACTCTGAGCAACATAGCACAGACACCAGGGGAGACAGACACTGAGCAACACAGGCCAGAGACCAGGGCAGGCAAAGCACAACAACAACTTGCATTTATATAACGCTCTCACACAGGGCAGCGTCCCAGAGCGCTTGAGCAACACAGAGCAGACACAACAACAACAACAACAACCTGCACTTACACAGCATTTCCACTCAATAATAATAATAATCCTGGTATTTGTACAGCGCCTTATCATGTCAGGAGGACATCTCAAAGCTCTTCACAGGATATACTGTAAAGTGAATTGACTGTATATTTTGTGGGCGAAAATGTCGTGTTGTAGGCGAACGGGGCAGCCAATTTGAGCACAGCAATGTCCCGCAGTGAACGACCAATTTTATTTGGGGAGATCGCTCTCTTTTCGAGTAGTGCTGTGGGATCTTTAACGTCCACCTGAACAGGCAGACAGGACCTCAGTTTAACGTCCCATCCGAAGGTTGGCACTTCTAACTATGCAACACCCACCCCCTCCAGCACTGCATTGGAGCGTCAGCTTAGACTACGTGAGTTCAAGTCCCAACGTGGGGACAAGTACTGACTCAGAGGTGAGGTGATGTTAGTGTGCGCTGGGCTGGGTTAGGCTGGGCTGTGTATTGGGATTGGCTGCGCTGCCCTTACCTGCTCCCTCTCCTCGTATTGCCCAATGATGGCCTGGAGCTTGCTGGCCAGGTCTGTGTTCTCCTCACACAGCTTGGTGTTGCGCTCGCTGTGCTGCTCGATCTGACCCTGGATGTCGGTCAGCATCTCCTGGAAGTGTTTAGCCACCGCCCTGCGCTTCTCATCCTCCTCCCTGGCTCTCTGCAAACTCTCCTCCTGCTCCAGCAATAATAATATGATAATAGTTGTATTTGATACAGCGCCTTATCTCGTTGTTGAGACGTCTCAAAGCGTTTCACAGTATTTTACTGTAAAGTACAGTGATTCTATTTTATTGGCCAACACAGCAGCCAATTTGCCCATCCAACGTCCCATGAACAGCGTGAAGTGAATGACCAAGTTTATTTGATGGATTATTGGCCAGGACACCAGGAGAGAGAAACTCCCTTCTCTGTTTCCAATAGCGCCAAAGGGTCTTTAATGTCTTTCTCCCACCAACCCCCCACACACACACCTTCTCACTCACCCTCTTTCCTTTCTCTCTCCTCCCTCTATCCTCTTTCTGCGCCCCTGTCTCCCAACCCACGCCCCCCTCCCTCTCCCTGCACCCTCTCTCCCCTGCCTCGCTCTCTCTCCTCTTCTCTCCCCTCTCTCAGATATAACGTAGTAATGCTTTCATCACATCACTAATGTCAAACTGTCTGTGCTTCATGGCTAATTGCTACAGTGACTGTATTTTGTGGGTGAACACTGCATCCAATTTACGCACATCAACATCCCACAAACAGCCATGGAGTGAGTGGAGTGATTAGGTTGAATCAGTGAATGAGTCAGTTACTTGGGAACACAGTTAGAATAATAATCCTTCCATTAGATATAACGCCTCATCACGTCATTGAGACGTCTCAAAGGTCTTCACAGACTATACTGCAAAGTGAATTGACTATATCTTGGGAGAAAAATGCGGCAGCCAATTGCGCACAGCAGCGTCTCACAATCATCCATGGAGTAAGTGATCGACTTTATTTGGGGGATTGTTGGCCAGGAAACCGGGAGAGAGAGAAACTCCCTCGTCTTTCCCAATAGCGGGATCTTTAACATCCACCGGAACAGGCAGACAGGACCTCGGTTTAACATCTCGTCCAAAGGACAGCACCTCCGACAACACAGTGCTCCCCCCCAGCCCTGGACTCTTACGTTGGCTTGGACTGTGACTCCAAGTCCTGACGTGGGGCTTGAACCTACAACCTTCTGGAGAGAGAGAGGAGAGAGAGAGAGCGAGCACTGAGCCAGGCTGACGCAAAGTTGAGAAAGACGGGTGGGGGGGTTAAGAGAGAAGGGAAGGGATTGATTGAGAGAGAGAAGGAGAGGGAGTTAGTGCTGACACTAACACTCGCTGACACTGACCTTGAGGCTCTTGTTGTGTCTCTGGAGCTGACGACACAGACTCTCCAGCTTACTGCGGGCCAGAACCGCCCGACTGTGCTCCCCCTGGAGCTGCTCCTTCTCCTTACACACCTGTACCTGCTTCCTCTGTAACAGCTTCCTCTGTCGCTGCTCACTGTGGCACTCCTCCAGCTACAGAGTGGGAAGGGGGGAGAGAGAGCGAGGGAAAGAGGGATGGAGGGAATCAAGGGAGGGGGAGAAAAGGGTAGAGAGAGAGCGAGTGGTGGGGGGGTGGGGGTAGAGAGGAACAGGGAGAGAGGAAGGCAAGAGGGGGAGTGGGGGGGGGGAGAGACAAAGCAATGGGAAGAGAGGGGGGAAAGGAGAGAGAAGGGGAAAGGGAGGAGGAAGTGAGAGGAGAGCGGGAAGGGGAGAGAGGGGGAAGAGAAGGGAGAAAGAGCGAGAGAAAAAGGAGGCGAGGGAAGACGAGAGAGAGTAGAGAGTGAGAGAGGGAGGATTTGGAAACAGAGGGAGAGAGGTAGTGAAATAAAGGAAGAGAGAAAGAAGAGAGGGGTGAAATAGTAATCCTTGCAGTTGATATAGCGCCTTATCAGGCCTTCGAGACGTCTCAAACCTCTTCCCAAGATACACTGTAAAGTGAATTGACTGTATATTTTGTGGACGAAAGAGTCTCTTTGACCGAGCCTTCAGCTCCCCTCTCGACTCTCTTCCCCCTCCTCGCTCTCTCCCTTCCCTCCCCTCACCCTGACCATTTCCCCCCTCCTCGCTCCCTCCCTCCCCTCCCCTCACCCTGACCATTTCCCCCCAATGCTCGGGTCCTGACCCAACTGTGCAGCGCCTTGGGACGTCCTCCTGACGTGAAAGGCGCTTTATAAATGGAATCTTGTTGTTGTTGTTGTTGTTGTAGAATGAAGGGGAACAAGGACATGGTATGTATTTTAAATTACCTTTATCGGGGCAGATTGTCTCAACAACAACAACTTGCATTTATACAGCTTCCTTATAATAATAATAATAATCCTTGCATTTGATATAGCGCTTTTCCGTCTTTGACGTCTCAAAGGCTTTCAAATATACTGTAAAGGAATTGACTGTATAATTTGTGGCGAAACGCGGCAGCCAATTGGGCACAGCAGCGTCCCCACAACAGCGGGATTGAAGTGACCAATTTATTATTTTTTATTTTCTTGACAGGGCTATTAATTACTACAACGGCGTCGACAGAGTAGAGGAAACTTGCCCAGGTTTGCCCGTTGCAATGAACCCGGTCTCCGCTTGCAAAGCGACTGCTCTAACCATTGAGCTACAGGACTCCACAGGTCCTTCACATGGGGTAGCATCTCAAAGCGCTTAACAGTGGCCAAGCCTGGGCGGGGGGGAGGTGACTGTAAGCACGGCCGAAGAGGAACGTTTTCAGGCGCGCTTTGAAGATGGGTAAAGTGGGGGCGAGGCAGAGGGATTGAGACAGAGCACCAACAACTTGGCAGTCATTAGTGACTGAAAGTCTCAAAGCACGTTAGAGATTTCACGTGCGTTGCCTCTCCTGTCTCTCACGTGGAGTTACCATGAGGAATATTAGCCAGGACACAGCCAGCAACTCTGTCTGTCTGTGCCCATTACATGCAGCCGTCCCGCTCGCTTTCCCACGAGCCAACCGTCATTTGGTACTAAAATGGCTGACATTCAGAGTACGGTAGATCGCTTTGATGTCACTTCCTGTGGTGACCTGTGGACAAGAGGTCGGCCATTTTAGGTTCCCACGTTGGAATGATTGACCGACTTCCATGTCATTAGGTTGCCGTCGATGTCAATTCCTGCTTTGCAGGCGCAGAAAACAGGAAGCGATTCACGGTGACCTGATCACCCTAAAGTCAGCCATGTTTTCCTTTGGTTCAGAGGGAAACGCTTTGTCTGGTTTTGTGCATACGACGTCAAACCCCCTACACAGTCGATAGGGATTTGGATCCAAACACAGTGTTATAATGGGCTTCACGGTATTTAGTTTGAAGTTGCTGATTGGCTGCAATATTGCTCCGAACAGTCAAGGAAGTGTCCTCCACAACAGCACCGCCATCGGGTTGCCAGCGGTAATGCAACCTTCATCCCTTGGGGAATAATAATAATAATAATGGGGGGAAAATTATAATAATGATCCGCGCATTTGATGCAGCGCCTTATCACGTTGTTGAGACGTCTCAAAACGCTCCACAGAATATACTCTTCGCCCACAAATATACAGTCAATTCACTTTACAGTCTATTCTGGGAAGCGCTTGAAGACTTGAAAAAGCACTATATCAAATGCAAAGATTATTATTATATCATATATTGTAAAGTGAATTCATTCACTGTGTGCTTTGTGAGCGAGATGAGGCAGCCAATTGCGCACAGCAGCGTCCCACAAGCAGTTGTCCACTGACCCCCCCCCACACACTGACCCCCCCCCCACACACACACTGACACCCCCCATACCACTCACACTGAACCCCCCACACACACTGACCACCCCCCCACACACACACTGACCCCCCCCACACACACACACTGACCCCCCCACACACACTGACCCCCCCCACACACACAATACTGACCCTCCCCCCACACACACGCACACTGACTCCCCCCCACACACACACTAGCCCCCCACACACACTAGCCCACCCCCACACACTAGCCCCCCCACACACTAGCCCCCCCACACACCAACACACTAGCCCCCCCCACACACACTAGCCCCCCCACACACACACTAGCCCCCCCCACACACACACTAACCACCCCCCACACACACACCACCCCCCCCACACACTACCCCCCCACACACACACTAGCCCCCCCACACACACTAGCCACCCCCACACACACTAGCCCCCCCACACACACACACACCCCCCCCCCACACACACTAGCCCCCCCCACACACTAGCCACCCCCCACACACACTAGCCCCCCCACCAACACCCACTAGCCCCCCCACACACACTAGCCCCCCCCCCCAACACACACCCCCCCCCCACACACACACTACCCCCCCCACACACCACACTAGCCCCCTCCCCACACACTAGCCCCCCACACACACACTGGCCCCCCCACACACTAGCCCCCCCCACACACACTAGCCCCCCACACACACACTACCCCCCCCCCACACACACTAGCCCCCCCACACACACACTAGCCCCCCCACACACACACTAGCCCCCCTCCCACACACACTAGCCCCCCCCACACATACACTAGCCCCCCCACACACACTAGCCCCCCTCCACACACACACAGCCCCCCACACACACACACTAGCCCCCCACACACACACCACTAGCCCCCCCACACACACACAACCTCCCACACACACTACCCCCCACACCCACTACCCCTCCCACACACACTAGCCCCTCCACACATACTATCCCCCCCTCACACACTACCCCCCACACACACTACCCCCCCCCACAACACACAGCCCCCACACACACACTAGCCCCCCCCCACACACACACTAGCCCCCCCCAAACCACACACACTAGCCCCCCCTCCACACCCACACACTAGCCCCCCCCCCCACACACAGCCCCCCCCCACACACACTAGCCCCCCCCCACACACTACCCCCCCACACACACACTACCCCCCACACACACTAGCCCCCCCTGCACACACTAGCCCCCCTGCACACACACACAGCCCCCCACTCACCACCTACCCCCCACACACACTAGCCCCCCCCCACACACACCACTGGCCCCCCTCCACACACACACTAGCCCCCCTCCACACACACACTAGCCCCCCCACACACACACTAGCCCCCCACACACACACTAGCCCCCCCCCACACACACACTACCACCCCCACACACACACTAGCCCCCCCACACACACTAGCCACCCCCCCACACACACACTAGCCCCCCTCCCACACACACTAGCCCCCCCACACACACTAGCCCCCCACACACACACACCCCCCCCCACACACTAGCCCCCCACACACACACAGCCCCCCACACACACAGCCCCCCCCACACACACACTAGCCCCCCCCACACACACACTAGCCCCCCCCACACACACACTAGCCCCCCCACACACACTAGCCCCCCCCACACACACTAGCCCCCCACACACACACACTAGCCCCCCCACACACACAGCCACCCCCCCCACACACTAGCCCCCCACACACACACTAGCCCCCCCACACACACTAGCCCCCCCACACACACACAGCCCCCCCCACACACACATAGCCCCCCTCCACACACACACTAGCCCCCCCCACACACACAGCCCCCCCCACACACACACAGCCCCCCTCCACACACACTAGCCCCCCTCCACACACACACAGCCCCCACACACACACTAC